GCAAGCTCAGCTCCAATGCTCTCAAAGAAAAGCCCCGTCAAGCTCTTGCCGTTGATGGCCGGGATGCTCGACGGTGCTAGCCACCCTATCAACCCAAATCCTATCACACTGAAGTCTCTTCTGAGCCAGTCCCTTGGAAAGCTACTGCATATGATTAAATAAATCCAACCGTTAATATTCAACCATACTCCAAAAATCATATTAAAAAGTAAAAGGGGTTGCTTTGTTGATTGATTCTAACCATGTAAACCGAGAAGCACCGGCAACCTTGAGCGGGTTCCTTGGAGCCGTCACGCGGGTTTTCAAGAAGCCTGAAGTGAGGGAAAGTTGCTTTGCCGGGGATGAAAGTGAGCTGCTGCCGAGGCCCAAAACGGCTGAGGAGGTGGCGTATGCTGCTGCCATGGTGGCGATCTGGTTCGGTTTTGGAGCTGTGGGGGTGGTTGAATCGGAAATGCAATGAGAGGTTGTGGCGCTGGTGGTAGTGTTTTTGTCGTTTGGGTGTATGAGATAGATATTCAAGAGAAAGATTGCGTGGATGGGCTTAGAAAGTTAGAATCAATGGGTTTCTGCCACGTCGGAATTGTTTGGATAGACTGGGGTCATCGTTGCCGGGATAATAAGGATATTTATTATATTTTTTAGAGTGGTACTGTACAGATAATTTTTTTTTTATCTCATTTTTTTATATAATTTTTACATGTCATTAAATGAGTAGATAAATTTAATATCACGGATCATGTATGAATTATAAAAATTAATTATTTTAATAACATATCAAATTATACAAAAATATTAAACAAAAAAATTATACCAAAAACATTTCCTTATTTTTTATTTTTAGTTTTCTTCTCCTCATTTTATCTCTGTATTTACGTTTTTCTGTATCTTTATTTTTGAATTTTTTTTAAAAAGTATTTTTTACGTTATCTTCTTGAATTTTTTTAAAGGATATGTTTACAATTTTATATATTAATTAATATTTTAAAAAATTAATTATTAAATTAAAAATTTTATTAATATAAATTATACATATTTATTTTAAATTATTTTAGTAGGTTTAACTATTTTATTAATTAAATAAAATTTAACATTATTAAATATATGTTAATAAATAAAAATTGTTTATTATTAAATTATAAATATTAAACTTATATGAGAATTGACATATATAATTTATATAAATAAAATTTTTAATTTAATAATTAATTTTTTAAAATATTAATTAAAATATAAATTTTTAGATAAATTTTTCAAAATTTTTCGAGAAGAAAACTTGTCTTAGACTATCATTTACCAAAACGCGCATGTAGACTAAGCCGTAAATGTAAATCAATTTAAAATTCTAAAAAATATATATTAAAAAGTTTAAAATTTATAACTTATATCATCAAATAAAGACAAAATTTCTTAAAATGTATATCTATTATTTAACTATTCTTATCTATAATTCGATACCGAA